ATCGAATCTCCTGGTACACTGAGGGACGTTTATGTCTTGACAGCGTAGACAGCACGCAGAAACTTTTTGTTTACAAAGCGGCATCTTTCACTGTGTTCACGTGATTACATAATCTCAGTCTAAACCGGGATGCTCAGGCTCAGTAGAGACAGCTGGTTAAGTGCGTCCAATGTTCCGCTCGGACAGCACGTCAAATTACAGCTACCGATAACCAAATGTGCGAACACACGTATGTAGTGACCGAAGTTTTCGCTGCCTAAAACCACTCGTTTGAGTGGCTGAGCGTCCTTCGTAAGCTAGTCAGCTCACATACGCCTGGAACGTAAGTGAGTGTTCTCGGAATTAAAAACTCCACGTTAATTACGTGACTTAATTATTTGTTTCCCTATTCCTCAGGCCAGTTCATCACCCTTCCGTGACTGCTCAAGTTTCAAGACTGAACCGTTCTATTTTATACAAAGTTGACTCTACCTCAACCGTTTTCTATAGACGTTTTGTTTACATTTATTCCTGGGCTTGTTGTTGAAAATTTGTCCCACAGTCTTTCCACTTAATTTGTCCGATAGCACACTGCCCTTCGTGTGCCATCCTGTGTTGCTAACCGCCCAAGGTTCAATCTAGCTGTAAGCCTTTCTTTAATTCTCCCCACGATTTACTGTTAATTTCCTATAGAACCACGTTCTACCTATCTGCACTGTCTGCCCAACTCCAATTCAATATATTGTCCACTGCCCAATTGCGACTACTGAACAAACGAAGTTCGTAGAATTCGGTTTCGCCGCAACTATTACTGACCGTCCGTTGGTGAATTAGACTACACGTTACCTGTCAGATAGGACACCTAGATCGTGCGTTTAGGCTAAGTAACTTATTCTTTGCTTTGAGATCATAGCACAGGATTGCACACTCCAGTTCGATGGAATTGTTCACAGTATCCTCGTCCAGGTTCGCGTTTCACGGTGACGATTGTCCTCTCTCTGCATTTTAATCCACTAGTTACTGTGATCAACTGCACGCAAAATTTGTGTACATCATGATGCGACAGCCATTCCTCCACTTAACTTCTTAGACTTACGTATGCTTGCATTTCTCCAGTTTACATGAAAGTTGTTTTAGTCAGTTGGCCAGACCCACAAATGTTGTTAATGAAGAGGCAAAATTGTGTAATTTCATTCCGGTTTGACGGTATGACCCCGCATTCAGTATCTGTTGGGGTGTAGCCCTAAAAACTGAGCCTTCAACATGATGAATGACTCTGGTCTTGCAGCCCAAGTTCCAGACTCTTCCAACCCTCCAACTATCTCTCTCCCACCCTGTAATCGCCATAACTGACAAATTGTGCACGTTGGTATTGAAGGTAGGCCAGATCCAACGTAGTGGTCCGTTGTCGGGATGGATGGTTACACTAGCACTGCGACGAGGCCAATTACGACTCCGAGGCAGAAATCGACAAACTTTCTTTCATGATTTATGGAATTGCTAGATCTATCTGTGCCCGGTTCACATTCACGTGTGCACCATGCGTGCTCGAATATTGTGCTACTTATTGGGATAACAGGGACAGGTGAAAATGCTAGTACTGCGTCCACTGGATCGTTTTCTTTGAAGCTGTGTGAAGGTGGGATCACAGCGTCCCATAACAAACTGTGACCATGAAGTCAATCAGGCCTACCAGCTATACATTCCCGTAATCCTATCCATGTAATTAACCTTGACATGTGAGGAATGGAGGTGACCCCAGCTCCGCGCCAGCAATTTCACTGACGTGGGTTTGCGCGTTTGCATACCGGGTGACAAACAAAAACACTGCCAAACTTCAAACCCTTGACAGTGGCACGCGTGGAAGGTGATTGTAGAGAAATCTCCTGATATTGCAGACGCTGATAAGTCCACTGCAATAAGCCTACGTGATATCGTGACCATCTGCTAGACCGTACGATAAACCCTGAGTCTAAAGTTACTACTGAATGCTTTCTTGAATGTCACTGACTGAATAAACCACAAACGCGCAACCAAAGTTAACCAATAAATCAATTGGAAAATGTCCGGGACCGATTGGGAAATCATCCTTTCAGTCGTTTCAAGTCGGCTTGTCATAAGAAATCTCACTGATTGCTTTCCTGACTGCCTTAAAACCCAATCAACCAACTTACTCACTTGGCACGACGAAGCTTTTGTGTCAACAGCAAAACGTTGCCCAGCGATAAACCCACCGATTTTTTACCAAACCTCTCTGAAACGCCAACCAATAAATGTTCATTTTACCAACCGAGGTAATGTGTAAGAGCTGTATACACAGCCCATACAACTAACTAGCCATTGTCATGATACCTGTATCCCCTTCCCAAAGACTACGTTTCACTTATTGGGTAAGGAATGCTGTAGAACAACTGTCTGAGATTGTACTTGAAATTCCGCCCGTAAGTGAAGACCATCTTTGCTGAACAGTCTAGAAGCACTGTGCAACTGCTCCATCCTTATTGGGAACTATCAAAGTGTGCATGCGACAAGTCTCCGGTGGATGTCAAATCTGCAACTGAGTAATGTGATAAACTCTCTTAAATGAGGCCTAGTGCCGCTCATCCTTCCATCACGGAATTCACATCACTGATCACGTATTGACGTACTCCTCGAATGCTGATAAGGCACTAGCGGCTGGAAAGTACAGTCTCGAACTACTGGCAAGGGTGTCCCAAGTTCGAATTTCTCTGGAGGTTCATGGGTATGACTCCTAGAAAAGATCTAACCCACCCACAGTACTTCTTGGTACTTCGGTACGGATTGACTTCACTTATAGAACAAAATCTCCTGTAGAATCACCAACTATCTCAACAATCTGAGGTTTATCATTCAAAAGATGCATAAAGAATTATGATGCATGGCACTGGCCATCATTCCCCTGAAAGGCATGGTATCTTCAAAGGTACACAAGATGTTGGAACGACCCAGGCCGAATAGCGGAACTCACAGAGGAACCAACTAAAGGTTCGATAAGTTGCAGGTGCGCTCCACCTCGGTTATCAGGCCGATATCGATTGCCACACACTAGAGACAATGCCTAGTGTTTGTGCTCACTATTAGCGTCTCCAGATGCCGAACGCACCACCCACAATTGGACTGATCGGGGAGCAAAGGTTAGATTCGGCAACTTCGTGTTATGCGACTGAAGAAATCATCGTCAAAACTACAAACAGATGAGCCATCAAAACTGAGTCTTGTTTACCGAACCAACAATCAGGAGATTTCCTAGAGAGATAAAAAGCATGACTTATGGAGAAGATCTTGGAAACACAGAGTCAGCTGTCGACAGTTCTGTGACCACTGAGGTCGCACGGAACGGTAAGCTTCCTAGCTTACATGACAAAATGAACCGTATTAAAAGTCGGCATATAAAAATTTATCTCCCTTTTCTTCAGTCTGGTCCATTATATCGAAATCACCCACCCCTTTTCCGAATTATGATATCTGGCATCCCTTATCGTAACCGATATGTACGTTTTAATCCCTTTCGTCTTACGTGCTCCTGTGTGACAGATTTGTCGAACGTAAAAGCTGATTTCCCGCGGACTAAGTAGTCCAAGGAACCCAGAAAATCTACAGGTAAGAACAGTTCATATGCGATATAAACCACAAAACATTCAAGCGTAGAGTGTTACCATAGCTCACGGATAGTTTTTTGGTCAACTTCTAACTGGAACCTAACAGGTGTTTACTGCTTTCAGTGAAGTATGAGTATCGTGGAAGTTCTGGTAAGCCCTACACTGAACCATTTTGAAAGGGGCACTTCCTTCACTGATAGGCTTTTGAGATGAAGCGAATTATGGGTGAAGCTGGGAAACTCAATAAGTGGAGTGAAGCCAGGCAAATTTGCTTGATTGAGACAGTAATCTATAATTATTGTGGGTTCTTTTTTACTATTTTAACTTGAGCAATGAACCTGTTGGTGGGCATGTCTAAGTCCAAATCAGACTCAATTCGGGTAACTTTAACCGAAGTTGTCACCTCCAGACCTTGGATTTTTTTGAAGTACTCGCAAAACTCACACCATCGGTCAACTGGAGCGTCACTATGTCATCACCATCATCTTAGGCAGGATAACAGCATTAACTGTAGGGCCTGTGAAATACCACCAGGTTATCCATCACTAATCGCGATGGTGTGTTAGCGAACACTCCCAGAAATACATTCATGGTGCTGTACCGGTTCAGATGAGGCAGTATACCGAAACTTAAAGAAAATGTCAAATGATCCCAGTACCTTGTGATAATACTCGGTGCTGGTTAGGATTGTTATATCATCATATTTAGGTCGTCTTACGACTTGCGACAAGCCTCTGCACTTTCGCCCGTTGATCTCAATCTCTCCGGTTTATATCGGCGTCAGGCGCTTACAAGCAGCACCACATTTGGCCCAGTGCAAACCGTCTGTAGCCTCCTACCATGCGCAAGTTTTCAGTCTTTTGAGAACCATCAACCAACCAATCTGATTCGGATGTTGCCGATGAAACTCTTGCTGATGAAATCATAATTTCACGAGCAGGAAGGTCAGTCACGCTGTTGTTGCGCATGACTCACTGATTTGTCTAAATCCTGAAGAAAGCAAACTACTGGGGTCAAGTTGAAAATCTTCTTTCCGATCGCGGTACACACAGGGCACTCGCATGAGACCAGAGGTGTTTCCAGAGACATTGCTCTCTATGCACCATGGAATACCGGCATTATCAGATGTCGTTTATAAAATAGAATTGTTTACAGGTGGTTATATTAGACAGAAAAAAGCAAGAAGAGTGTATTCTCTGGGTGTGAGGAACATTGACACGTATATTGTGAAGTCAGAAACAGATCACTGAATTACCGCACCCGTACTCACGACAGCAACGAATGAACGTCCATATTTGTGTATTCTTGTGCTCCAGCAAACATGTTTAACCCCAGCCAAGCCACCCCGATGGCTTGATTAATGTTGCTAGTTGTGGCAATGTGGCCTAGGTGCGTACGTACTTTAGCAGCGTAATAGTAAAATAGCCGAGCAACCACGCCAGCATCCCGAAAGACGAACTGTGCAACGAAAAGGAACAATTTATTTAAGACTGATCACCAAGTCATGAGATTTGGATGTACTTAATCAGAGAATTTTAGGTAATTGCATAGGATCTGTTGTTTGTATGCTAGATTATATACTAGAATTCAAGGAGAAAGGGTCTTCGTTTAACATTAGAACAATCAGAAAAAATGATCCTTCTACGACCGCGTGCTCGGGCAAGAATTCATTGCATTTGAAGTGTCAGGTGTTCCTTATCGCTGGAATGACAAAATCCGACCGTTTGCAAGGGAATTAAAATGATGAAACTTGTGGACTTCTGATACAATCAAACCATGAATTAGATGGTAAGGAAAGTTGTAGGCATTCTTAAGTTAGATCTTAAAGTAGCTGATCCACAATTTTCTCGCTGATCTCATCACAAGTTGTGCTATAGGTACGTAAAATAAGAGGTAGATTCTCATAAAGGAAACTGCTCACAAGGTTGCTGAAAACTCTGACAGCCCACGACCGGTTTCGCCCTTCTTGCGGTTCATCGGGTAGGCGCGGGCCCCGAGTTTCCGTCAACCTCATGTTCTACTTGAACCCAAATTTGACTGTTTTTCGAGAAATGCACCCATTTGCAAATTAATTTGGTTTTCACGAGAGAATTTGTGACATTTTCATAAACAAAGTCACCCACAAGGTTTCTGAAAACTCTTCGACAGCCCACGTCAAAATCAGTCCAATCTAATTATGTCATGGTTGTACGGCAGTGAAGCATCAGTGTTGAACACTGATGTCATGCTGTCGATGATGATGATGATTAATTATTTTAATGACCAGTTAAGTTAATCACGGCCAGGTACTGAATCATGCGATGAAATAAACTGAGCAGGTTTCACATAATGGCATCATTAGCAAACTAGTAACCGAGGCTGGATACGAACATCACATAAACTTTGTGTTCGTGACGACTAGATCTCTCTAGGAAATGTTCATTTGATGATTTTTCAGGACAAACTTCCGTGCGTGGATAGTCGGTTTTGTTACGAAGCCCAGGCTGCATTCCCAGTGGGGTTGCATGCGAAAGCATGGACTTAATTATGGCCGTTTCATGCTAGATTACATTGATTTTTCAGGACAAACTTCCGTTCGTGGATAGTCGGTTTTGTTACGAAGCCCAGGCTGCATTCCCAGTGGGGTTGCATGCGAAAGATGCGAAAGAATTATGGCCGTTTCATGCTAGATTACACTGGATGGCACATGAACTAGAAACCGATATTCCAGTGAAGTATGCTTTCTGCCGTGTCTTCAGCTTGATTTCATGACCATCAGTAGCACCGTAAGCCAACCAGAATAACAAAAAGGGGTTTGGGACAAGAAGATCAACTAAACACCGATAAATCTAGCTCCTGTCCGAATTGGATAACTGCTAGTCTTGTCCTTTGATTGATACTTACCACAGTTATGTGAGACCAATCCACGCATTCAGAGTTTCCTTCTTTCTTAGTGTTTGCTTCAAGATAATCGATCCGATCGACTGTTTCATGCTCACTAGCGTAACAGCCAGTCAGCTGTTCTTCAGTTCACAAACCAACAAGAAAGACTGATCCCAAATAACGGTTATTCGTAGGGTTGAGATTTTTCTACTTTTTCAGTCATGAGGCAAGCAACATTGCTTTCTCCTGGCGTCATAATAAATAGTCCTTCATTTCAATAACTTATCAATCATTCCTTTGCTTTCCTCGTTCTTTTGTTTACCTTATCCTACAGTTCACGCCCAATTTTTATCAATCTGGATTGGTGCATAACCGTACTGTGAAGCGGTTGAGATTGGTTTCATGAAAACGAAAGCCTTAAGCTAACTTTGTGGCAAAAACTACCAGTTCTCTACGGCGTTCTAATGTGACACTCTCTAGAGTTGAATTCCGTCTCACCAGTGGTAACTTTGCTTCCTGGCCTAACACGCCACTCATGTTTGTACTTTAGTCCACTCATGGTTTCACGATTTATTGTATTAGAACTTTGAATCGCTGCACAGAGCTGATTCAAACAAGCAGATAACTTCGAGAAATACACTCATTTGCAAATCTATTTGCTTTTCACGAGGGACTCAACTCAATCTCTCGTTTATGATATTCTACAACTGAATGTGTTGCACAAAGGCCGCCTCATGTTTCAGTTGGGACGATATTCGAGATATCGCAGCATATT